TGCCTGATCAAACATGCTTGTAACATTCAAATGAAAATTTGATTGCTCCATCTTCACAACCCCAGGCCAGGTAGCATCGAATGAAGGATGATTAAGAGCAGACAATTCAACAGCTAAGTTGACACCCAAGTTTTGGCTTTTGTGACGTTTATGACGTCGGTAGTAAGAATTTTTATGAAAATCTGAGAGTCCCGGATGGAGTCCTGGTGTCATTGCTAAACCAGCAACGAAACCTTCCGCGTTCCCTTGGCGTACAATGCGCAGACAGTGACCTGTCCATGCGCTCCAGACGAGAAGGAGACAAGAAGTTCCTGGCGTCAGTAAAAGCGCTCCATCATGCGAAAAAGTAGCCAATAGCTGGGGGCCGTAGTTTCGAGTGCAGCTAAACATGAAAATGAATAAATACGGCTAGAAAGTCAAAATGGACTTAGCCCAGTAAAAGTTTAAATAAGGAAAATAATAATAATCGCAAAAACCTAGCCATTACAAATTCACCATGAATTAAGGAATAGCAACTTTTTTTAATGAGATAAACGTTTTGGTAAAGTTTTATAAATTGGATATGTAGTCACCTTAGGTCTCATAATGTGATTAAGGGCTAATGGTTGAAGTTTCTGACAGTGATATTGGGCCCAAAGACGACATTATATTTCACTTTGCCTAGAGTTCTCACGAGGTATTCTCATCTAGGTTGGACCTCAACTTCAACCTCGCCTGGACCTGCTTAAGAACTTTAAAGGAAATCAAACCTAGGATGACAACAGCTCATATTCAAGACCCACTAATAGTCTCGAAAGCCACTGTACCTAATACAAGTAACACGGTAGATTTTACTTAAAAAATATAACTTTCCTTAAATGAAAATACCACTATGAATGTGATATGACTGACTTATTTTGAAAGTCATATATGCCCTATAACTCGCAGAGATATGAGGTAGGGGTAACATTTTTCCTTTTTTTATAAGCAGGTTTTCGAGACCGCCAATAGATTATTTATATATAAGATGTATTTACCCTATTACGTTTAAGGTAATAGAGGAACTGCTTATTGAATTCTTCCATAATTATATCGGTAGACATTAAGTTACCGTTAAACTTCACATAGCCTTGCTTTCCAAAAAGGCATTTTTATCCAGGATGGACTTCAGTTTTGACCTCGCCTAGAGCTCATCCGCACCACATGCTGGACACGAACCATGATAAGGCAGTGTATAACCTCGACTCGTTGACCACTACGCCACATTTCTACAGCAGCCTTTGAGTGACAGAGCAGATGTGAAGTTCGAAGAAGGCCAAGCATTTCCCCATATAACATTCTGTGTTGAGATTGGCGATAAAACAAAGTTGTACTTGCTATAGAAATCGAATACATTACTTTTTTTTGATTTTTTATAAGTAGGTCTTAGAGAATGCCAGTAGATCTTATATATAAAATGGGAAAGCAAAGCTATGTGAAATTTAATGGAAACTTAAGGTCTACTCATATCATTGTG